TAGAGAAATTTGTGTAGAATGGAAAGTAAAAATTATACATAGCTCACCTAACAAGTTATTGATCAAAAGTACCTTCCAATAACTCAAAATAGCTTGCTATAGCTTCTCGGCCCTTCTCCTCACCCTCTCTCGTGTGTTTCTCAATTTCACTCTTTTGAAATTTCACGACTTGTAAAGGCAATTTTTGGTCCATATGTCACAGAGCATACAGCACAAGCCGCGGCACGTGGTACAGTGAGATTCATTCTCACCGTGCATACTTGCTTCTACTCAAAATGCTCTCCTATCACTTGTATCTATCCATACAACACACTAACAAATCAAATCAATAAGTAATCATCCAAATCTCTAATCCCACACTAATTACTACTTCATCCTCAGTTAACAACTAATTACGGGATTAAGAAATTTAGGATGTTACACTAAGTGACAAATTATATAATAGGAAGATTGGTAGGTGTAGGTGAGGTAAAAAGGTTAGGAAAAGATAAAGGTGTCTTAGGTTCACTAACATTAGCTATGAGGTTTGCAACTAGTCTATTAAGACTAGATTCATCTACATTCTCATCAATATGGAATTCATGTTTGGTATTTCATTTGACTTTGGTAGAGAGGGCAGTTTATGCTTTGGCACACCATTAAAAGGATGAATTTCCTTGTCTTGGTTAAGATGGCTTTGGTTTTAAGGATTAGGTTGTTAGTCAGTTTAGTGTTGGGTTTGTGCCTCTGGTTGACCTCCTAGTTGGTTTAGTGTTTGGTTTTCAACTTCTTGCTTAGGTGAGGTAAAACTAGTAGGGTAGGTATTTTGAAATGGAAATGATTGGAATGGGAAGAGGATGGGGAACCAAGGCTTAAGTGAGTTTTTGCTTCAGGTGGTCTAGTAGAGGTAGAGGTAGGGGATGTTATTACTTAGACTGAGCTGGCTTTTCATGGTTGATTATGAGATGCAACAACTTCATGTTCTTCTTCATCCAACCCTAGATGTTGCAAGATCCTTACTACTTTCCTGTTGAGCTGGTCTTGCTTCTAACTTAGTGATACCATCATGTTTTCTAGCCTAGTAATATCAATTTTCATGTGATATATCCCTTCATCAATCATGCATTAAAGGTTGTTGAGAATTATTGCTAGAAACTCATTGGATATTGGCCTTGTTAGATCTGGAACAGGCACAGAAGACCTTGCTTCTCGTTCTCTAACTTTCTTTGTTTGCACAAAATCCTTGCCAACAATTTTGAACTTCATCTTATGGAGGACTATGTCTTGGAACTCCTTTGGATACTTGACCACCCTTTCAAGGTACTTAATGTTATACCTCTTCAAGATTGTTGAGAAGAGTGTGGGGTGTAAGTTAAAGCAACAACACCCAAGAGGGGGGTGAATTGGGTGTTTCGAAAATTTTTGATTAAACTTTTCACAACTTTAGCATAGTTCAAGATGTAATTTGAAGTTTCAACACAATAAATCAAATTAAAACTTAAATATTTCAGTTACAGATTTATCAAAACACTTGATTAATAATATAATTGATGAATACAAGCATTAAAGCCAATACAAATAAGTAAAAACAGTTTTAGACATATTAGAACAACTTTGATAGAATAAAACAAATTTTCCAAAATACTTTCAAAGTTAAGGATGAATTCTTTTATAAAGATTTTAAAACTTTTGTGAAATATAAACTTTTTAATACTTTCAAACTTTTTAAGAGAGTTTGCAAAGTATGATTTAGCTATATTTAAAGAGAGTAGAGTTAGAAATACTACATAGTCAATTTATCCTACTTCAGTCAACCACTTGGCTTGCATCCAGTCCCTAAGCTCACATTTGAGATTTTCTACTATGACATAATTCCACTACAACACAAGCTTCAATGGGTGCTTACCACCACAATATAGTCCACAAGCTTTCACAAACATTTGTAGGCTATTACAAGGTCTCTTACTACACTAATAAGTCTCCTTAACCCCTTACTTTAAAGATAGTGAGCACCCTCTCAATACACCCAGGAAATCCTTTCTCAAATCTCTTTAATAACAAACATTGTTTCTTAATATCAAATCCTCTCACAAAGAGATGACTAAGGACACTCTTTAGGCACACTAAAAAACTCTCTCAAAGAGTGAATATAACAACGTATACTTGAAAAATAGCTTAAGAGCCTTTCACATGAACACAATGTAAAATGATGGTTTGATGCAATTTCTATATGCCCACTAACTCAAGTGAGGTCTTATTTATAGATTTTCATGGTCCAGGATTGTTGGAACATATAAGATACAAAATATAGTTGTTATACACATGTGAAAGTAATTTATGACACAAAAAGCACTTTTCTACAAAAACCATTAAATGCCTTGGATGATCTATATTCATGATTAGCTTAATTATTAGTTCACTTGATCCAAGCATGGACCAGTTTAGGTTCAAGCGTGTTTGATAAAGGTTGAAGCACCAAAGCTTCACTAAAAGCCTAAACACTCATTGGCATATTATGTACCAAGTGTGAATGAATGATACACACTTCAAGCTATGAAACATGCTTGGACAACTACTAAACCAAGCTTGAATAGCTTGTTCAATGACAAGGCTCACTCTAAGTCAGACTTGAAGACTAACAAGTGTTTATCCATTCAAGCGTGGACTCTAAAGAATCCAAGCATGGATTGCTACTTAGGCACACTTCAAGCTGACACTTAGAATCAATCAAATGTGGATAAAAATAACATCTAAGTGTAAATTATATTACAGAAGCATGACCAAGGCATATAGTGAATAAAGCATGGACACATAAATGTCCAATCGTGAATCAAGCATATAGTGCTATATCTCACTTCAGATTTTCTAATTCAAGCAAGGTCCATTTATGGTTTAAGCTTGAATAAGATCTACTAACTCTTATATGCATAAAGAATGGCCAAACATATGTGGGACACTCATAGTCTAAGTATGAATAGAACAGTGAGAATCATGAGTACATGCAAACATATTTTAAACATGCATGGATATATCTTCTCCTTGTGTGGATGAGATTTTTAGCCTCAAGGACATATGAGCTAATGACTTTCTATATGGTGCATTTTTACTTCAAATCATGTTTTTGCTCTCAATTAATTTTCCCAAATTTATCTAAAAGAAAAGTAAATTAAATACAATCTATGAATGCTCTCTTTCTTCTCTTGATTTTTATTTCTCTTGAGTGCAGCATGCTCATGTTGATTCCATTATTTCTTTCCTCATGCTCACTTGGTTGTGTCACTTGTCTTATGATATTATGATATGCACAAGTAATAAATACCTTTCTCTTGGTTTTATTATCATCAAAATACTTAGTTCAACAAGGGGTAATGATGATTTCTCTCTATCTTTTTTTTCTTCTTGTCTATATCAGCAACCCACAGCACTTTGTGAGGATGTGAGCATCTCTTGCTCAATCTCATTGCAAGTCTTGAAAGTGGTTCTTTTGTTGACAAAAGAACCTAGCCACTACACATGCCAACATCTTATGCTTGAATGGAAAGGAAGTGGGCACTACTTCAAAAAAGAATATTTACATCACTATTTTATGTCAGTTAATTCAAAAGCCGATGTAAAAAAAATGACAATGGCATTTTTGCAATTACGAGTGAGAGTTATAACATCAATTTTTTGAAAACTGACGTAAATTTTTTTTCCACGTTGGTGTATTAAAATTGACATGGAAAGTTTATTTAAAAAATTTAAAAAAAAAGTCAGTTTGCACGTCAATTCTTGAATAATTGACATGAAACTAGATATCACATTGGTTAAGTAAAAATTAGATGTGGTATCGCTTACATCAGAAAGTGAAAAGATGCTCCCCCACTGATTTTTTGAATCAGCTTTCATCTCTAGTACTCTACTCTCTCTCTCTCTTTCAAACTTTTGAGTGTTGTACCATTTGAAAGCCATCGTCATCCACCCTTTTGCTTGCCATCACCGCCATTTGCATCTACCATTATTGATGTTTGGGTTTGCCATCACTATGTTACTGCATTTTGCATTTGCCATCATTAAACTCTTCTTGTTGGTGGGTTTTCTTTCTTTTAATGGGTTTTCTTTATCATTGTTGGTGGGCCTCCTCCTTCTCAATTTTTCTAGTAGGTACTTTCTTCTTCTACCTTCTCCCTTGTCGATTATTGGGTGTTGCTATTCAATGGGACTTTCAGGGTTGCAATTTCTTCCTGAGTGGATTTTAGGTGAGTCACATTGTTGTTTTTCTATGTTTTAATTGCACTATCATAGAATAGGCTAAATATAACACCATATATTTGAAATTTATAAGCTAAAAATGACAAATAAAAAAGGTGCTAAATATTTGACGGTTTTTCAAAAAAAAAAAACATCATGTATTGAAACAAATAATTGATGGTTTCATGATAAATAACCATTAAATGTATATTTTATCTGAAATTATGTTATATAAATATATTTGAAGACAACCATCAAGTATATAAATTATATACTTGACAGTTGTACCTTAACAAGTGTTAAATATATAATTTTAAAAAGAAATTAAAAAAGGAAATATTTACTTGACACTTTTTGTGAAACAACTATCAATTTTGTTTGGCTAATACTTGACAATTGTTCTAAAGAAAGCATCAAGTAAGTAATACTTGACAGTTATTATGACATAACCATCAAGTATTGCCTTTTAAATTTACACTCTAGAACCTTTCCTCTTCACATTTCAACAACTTGAACGTTCTCAAAAACATGCCCAGACTCCTCGAAATCCATTTTTCCTCACAAAAACTGCCTAAAAACACAAATTCACACTTGATTCATGGTGGGTTTTTCTTGTGGGTTCCTTTTTCTCAACTTCGTGCATGGTTTGTTCATCTGAGATTCTATTTTGTGCATTTTGTTTTCATTCTCCAACCCTTAATCTTGAGTTTCTCTCTTGTCTTCTTAATTCTTTTTTGAGTTTAGTGTTTAGTGTAAATCCCATTTAAAATTCCTCATCTTGCTTTCAATAGTGAAAATCATGGTCTTCTCTCAAGTAAGTTGAAAATCGTGCTCTTCAATCAAGGAGGACCTCCTCTGCTTCTTCATCCTCATTCATTGTCTTCATCCTCATGTACTTCTCTTATGTAAGTTGACCTATCCTTATTCTACCCTTTAATTTCTTCCTTGTGGTATTGTTATCTATTGATTGTAAGTAGGGTGTTAATTAAAATTAGTGATTGGAATATGAAATTTTTGTTCATCTATTCTTGTGACTGAATATATATATATATATATATATTGCTTTTTGGTTTTAGGTTCTTTGTTAATAATTTTGGTTTCAGGTTCTTTGTTAATAATGAGGTTAAATATAGGATTATATAAAAATTATTTTACTATTAGGCATTATGATTTTGTAAAAATTTGCTTCCCTTATTATGGCGGTGGTGATAATTTTGTCATTGGATAGCTTGATTAGGTGTAGTTGAATTATATCATGGGTTTTTAGGATGAAATTTGTGTATCAATTGTTGTTAGGTAACTTCATTGAGTATAATTTAATTATATAAGTACTTGCAAGTTGAAATTTTTTATAAAGAGAGGGCATAAAGCTCAAAAAATAATCTTTTCTAAGTTGTTATGCTGCTGAATTTTTTACTATTGGGTGAAATTATATCACTTGTTGTTGGGTAACTTGATTGAGTACTTGCAAGATGAATTTTTTTAATAAAGAGAGGACATAAAGCTCAAGAAACTCTCCTTTTAAGCCATTATACTACCGAAATTATTTCAATGGATAGCAATAAAATATAGCTATTAGTTTTAAATAAGATTAAAGAAGGAATGTGCAAATACATGGTTAACAAATTATTGACTGATTGATCCTTGTATCTAACTCTTCCACTATGTAGAAGTAGTCAAAGTCACTAATAATATTTCCCTCTTAATTTTTCTAGGAATTATGGATAAGGAATGAATGTCTGCCAATCATCTATCTAAAAATTATTAGGGGGTTGTAAACTTTGTTAAGGTTGCAGTTAAGCATGCAAAGGACCTTGCTAGAATTGTTTGCCCATGTTTAAAGTGTGGGCTTATGAAGTGGGTTAGTTCAGATACTTATGAAGAACACTTAGTATTTAATGGGATGGATCAAACTTATAAGTGTAGTGAAAGCTGTGCATCATCTCCTAATAATTTTGACACATATACACTTGAGAAAGATTGTCTCGAACAAATGGCCAAAGCGATCAAAAAGGGCCAGTGCCTATTATAGACAATAAATTTAGTGGTGGCTTTGTTAAGACTTATGCTTTGGCTATGAGGATGAGTTGCTAAGTGCCAATTGTGGATATTATTAATTTTGACGATGGGCTATTCGGTAGAGAGTCATTTGAAGTCGTCCGAGATGAAATATTAAATGAAATCTTCAACTAGGATATGGTAATCACTAGTTTGTTGAGCTTTTATTAGAGGTAATTACTATTACAGGATAGGCTTTTAACAACGAGTAAAAAATACTTTTAACAGCAGTTATAGAATTGTTATTGTTTCAAAAGATGTTAAAAGTTTATACTTTTAACATCAGTTGGACAACCACTGTTAAAAGTAAACTTTCAATAGCAGTTCTAAAGTCCACTGTTAAAAGTTTCATGTAAAATTAATTTTTGAAAAAAAAAGGGGACTTTTAATAGTGGTTATGACTTTAACCACTGTTAAAAGTGAAATTTTAACAGCAAATAACAATGTTCTATACAATTTATTACCAAGCAGCCAATTCTAGTATATATAAATAATTAAAATTTCAATACAAAATTTTATAGAAATTACGCAAAACTCAAACGGTCTATACAATTTCCTAAAAAATTATCTAAACCTTACATACCATTGTAACATCCTGAATTTCAATCTAAGGAACTAGTTACTAAATAGGGATAAATTAGTAATTAGTGGATTGATTGTGGTTTGAGATGTCGAGTTGATATTTTGTGTTGTTTGGTTAATAGGATTGAAGGGTAGAATGGCAATTCATGTTGAAAAGCATGTGCACAAGTGAGATTGGCCTCATTGTGCCATGTACCACGATGGAAGCTATATGCACCACTGTGCATGAAATAAAACTTTTACTTAAAGGCTAAGTTAGATCATGAATATTGAAAGAGAACAAAGGGAAAAATGAGTGAGAGGCTGAGGAGAAGGCTTGAGTGCTAAGGCAACCATTATCCAACTATTAAGAGTCTGTTTTGACTAGTGACTTGCCGGGTAAGTATCGTATAGCCCTAGGCTTCATTTCTACCCATTTTCATTGAATTTCATTGGTTAAGAAATTGAACCAGGAAGTTTTAAGGTGATATAATGTAAAAAAAGGTTTAAAATAGGCTATCAAATATGGAACTAAGGTTTTGTGACTAATTAGGAGTTAAATGGTTAAGTTTTGAGAATTTGGACTCAAATACCTAGTTAATTAGGTTAAAATGGTGAAATTGGGTGAACAAATGTGTTAAGAGGTTGTTATGATCATTTGAATAGCCTATAAAGCCAATGACTATAAATCTTAGATTTATAAATTCAAAAGGTATTAATTTAACCATTTGGTGTGTTAGGGGATTTGGTTTCTCCAAATCAATGCCTATGTTAAGTGTTGAGAATCAACATGAGGACATCGTGTTGTGTAGATTGAGCATTTAAGAAGTTGCTCATGAGAATCTATACCTTGTTAGTCTTCTGTGATTGGTAACCTATAGTAGAAAGGGTAAAAAGTAACTGAAGTAAACCTTTTTACTTGTTCATTTGTGAAATTGTATAGAAGTATGTTATATAACTATATGCATTGTAATTTATGAACTGATAGAGTAGCAGAATTACAAAAGTATATGCATGCGAGTGCGTGAGTAATGTATGAAATAAATTTAAAGGGACATATGCAAACATGTGCATTGCATCGGTGAGTATACCCTAGACTAGGGTAGGGGGTTACGGCTCTCCTCTGTATAAGTCTAGGAAGTCCTGATAATTTAGAGCGTAGAGTTTGACTCTGCTATAACGGACCTAGGAGATCTCGATGATCTTGAGTGCAAAGCTTAACTCCAGCACAATGGACTTAGGATATGGAATGATCCATAAGTATACCCTAAACTAGGGTAGGGGATCATGGTTCGACCTTATGTAAGGCTAAGAAGTCCTAATAATCCTGAGCGTAGAGCTTGACTCCACCATAACAGACTTAAGGGACCACCTATACACGAAGAGGATACCAAGTCTAAACAAAGGTATGGTGGGTCCTGTTCCATACTATTGGAAGTCTTAGTCCGATATAGAGATTACTCCACCAGGTGGAACTAAGAATGCATGAATATGAGCATGAGCATGATGAGATTAATGAGAATGAATTCTTGTATGTGAATACTATACGTTTTTATTGAAATACATGCTGCTTTATCTCTTGTTTATGATTTTGCTTACTAACTGATAATTGGAGTTACCTTTGATTTACTAGGACGTATGTCTTACTCTGTTACTTTTGTACACAGGTAAAGAGAGCACGAGAAGGTTGGGAAAGAAAATGAGGAAAGAGTAGCCTCAATTAGTAGTGGTATGATTGCTACTTGTGTAAATGAATGTATAATTAGTTGTTATAATTCAATTGCCAACTAGAATGCATATATATATGAGAATATGAAATGTGTGTGTGAATTGTTGATGAAAACTTGCTTGTATATATATATATATATATGATGTTGAAGCTCGCCAGGGGTGCCCCAGTGATGGGTATATGGGTAGGCTTAGATGCGATCCAAGCAAGTATATTGTAACTTGTTCCACTAGTGTATATGTGTGTGTGTATGTGTGTGTGTGCATGTGTGTGAATTGATGTGATGATTTGTGAAATTACATATGTGTCTATAAGAACTTGACACAAATGGTAAGGCCAAACTCCATTTGGAAAAGTTGAGTATATTATGCTTCCTGACCATATGGTAAGGCAGAGTCCTAAATGTAAGGGTCAGATGATTGAATGTGGAACAAGTCTATGTGTTTATATGATTGTTTGTGTATTCTTCATATAAGCCCATAATTGTGTAATGTGGCATTGAGAGGCCAAAATGGGCAATTGATATGATATGTGTTTAGAAGTGTTAATTAGGTGTATATGATTTTTTTGGACTTGGTTCAAGGCCTAGAGTGGTCTAATGGGACAAGGAATAAGAATTGAGTACTTAAGGTGCAAGTTTTTGAAAGAAAGGTTACTTTTTGCACCTAAGTGTCTAATTTTAAATTGGACCGTCAGATCAAGTCCAACCTTATCTCATTAGATAGATTATGTTGTAAGCTTTGTATGGGGTGCTTGAATCATTTAAATCAAACATCAAATGTGAAAATGAAACATAGTGAAATTTTGCCATCTAAACTACCATCTGATAGCAGAATTTACTATCATATGCACCATGACGCATTGTATGCCACACCGTGGCATATAGCATAGAAAAGAATAGAGTCATTGCTTTGTACCATACGCTGTAGTGCATGGAGGTGTGAGCTATAGTGCATGGCACTTTTCTAAGAGAAAGATGTTGTGCTTCTTTAAGTCGTAGTATTGTATTTATACTTTTATTAGCCTTCTTATTTGAATATATATTTTAAGAAGTCGAGATCTTGTATATTGAAAATAAATAAAGGGCTATTACTCTATTATGATATGACTATTGTTGTTCATTGTGTATGGATGTTAATGGTATAGTTTGGATTGAGTATGGACTTTACAACTATCCATAAAATATTATGCCCAAAGTGTGAGGATGTCGTCAATCTCTTCCTCAAAAAATGGATCCGTAATGTCAAATATAAATTAAAGTATAAAATTGTAATTAAAACATTAACTAATTCAAATAACAATAAAATTAGCTTTTAAAAAAATATAGTTAGCTTATTTGTAAATTCAATCATTCCTAATGTGATGATGTTGAACATATGCCTCATCACATATATGCCACACAAGCTAGTCTTCTATGGTTGCCTATGACTTTATATAAAAACATATATATAAGCAATTGGGAATTGATAATAAATATTGATAACTGAATAAGTTAATAAAGTGTTAGTTTAACTTACCTTTGGCTTAATCCATGTAGGATGCTTTAGCTCATGTGCGTGCTTTTTTTAGAGCCATTGTTTGATATGTTTTCATTGCCCTATGATAAATATCACAAGATTTGTAAATAATATGTCCATAAAAATTGATATTTTTTGTACAAGTACACTTACAACTCTATCGTCATCTTTATATCCTTATTTGGTTTGTAATGAATGGAGTATAAGAAGAGGACTGTGTTACACTTCAGTGAAAGAACAATCAGCTACCAGTGGTCTTTACAAAATAGGATGAGTTATTAGTAAAAAGCTATATATAACAAAAAATTATTATAAATTGGTCCTTATGAATGTACATATGGAGCCACGAAATCATCCTTTTTGACTTCACATATTAGTTGCTGGAGTTACCAAGATCTGATTTCTAAAGTATTTCCTTTCTCTGTCATGTGATGAGGGCAAAGAAATATGAAATTATCACCTTTGCCCGATGTAGTGCACAAACGATGAAGGTACCTGTGATAATGCAATCATAACATAAATAGCTCAATTGACATTATGTTCAGTTGACTTTTCGAGAGGAGCCAATTCAAATCTTCTCGTTCAATCATCAATGGATTCTCCATACCTGCAATATCCTTTTCCTTTGCAAAATTTTTTACTTGTAATGATTTATCATAGGCCAATAAAATTATTTGTTAGAGAGGAGTCAACTTTGGTGGTTGCAGTTACAACAAGGGTTGTGGAAGCTTCGATAGGGGATCATTTGGCAAGGGAAGCTGAAAAGGCAAGATATATTTAACTAAAAAATAATATAAGAAAGAAATATTTAATAAAATGTATGAAACATTTAATAAAATGTACCTCAGCTTGAACCATACTCACAAGTCTCTTGGGCCATATGATAAAAGTACTAATAACTTTAGACACAGCCTTGACCTCATCAATAGAGAATGAGATGAGTGCCTTCGCTACTTTTATATCTTTTACTACTACTCTAACTTGATCTTGTTGCATTTTCTTGTGGTAGACAGTTTGTCCCAAAGTATAAATCTACCAAGAGCGACCAAGCATCTATCAGGATCCTCTAGATATAGCTCACACGGTTCATAGGTGCTTCCTACTGAAGGACCCTCTGACACGCATCCAAGAACATTACTCTCTTTTGTGCTATGAAATTTAGGAGATTGTGTGTGAGGTACATCGTGTAACATCCTGAATTTTTGATTTCTACATTAACATTGATTAGGAATTGAATTAGTGATTTAATATGGGATTAAGATTCTGGATAGTGAAATGTTGAATTGACTTTTTGGGATGTTATAGGAATAGATATAAGCAAAAGAAAGAAGTCCCAAAGCAAAGTGTGTGGGTACAACAAGGATTTTCCTCATTGTGCCATGTATTACGATGAAGGATGGATGTGTTGCAGTGTATGGTGTAGAATTTTGATAAGTGCCTTCATGTGTAGCTTGTGAAAAACAAAAAGGGAAACAAAGAAAAAGGGGTCAGGTGTGGAAAAGGTGCCAACCTCTGCTAGGACAAGTGATTTAGAGAGCAAGGATGACATTTCTGACCTGTTAGTTATTGGGTAAATCTCTTATTGACTTGACCTTTAATTCTACCCTACTTTTTATTAGTTTTAGCTAGTGAGAAATTAAATTCAAAAGTTTTAAGTAGATGATTTCTTACCCTATAGTAATAGAAAGGTTCTTCGGAACTAAATTAGTACTTTGTGACTGGTTTAAGTTGGAACAATAAAGCTTTAAATCTATAGGCACAATTTGCCCTAATCTAGAGAGAGAGTAGTTAGAGAAAGTCTGATTGTGAGGGAGTTAATGCATGATGTGAATGGTAATTGGTCATAGTGCGTGTGAATGAATGCGAATAAAGGAAGTGATGGTGATTTGATGTTTAGTTATGGTAAATGGCACTTTTTGTCAATAGAGTTATTGACTCTGGGTGTCTAAATTGTGTAGATCCTAGCGTGTGACATGTGAATTATAAAAAGGAAGCTTGAATAGGGTTGTTGGAACACGGGTAACCCTTTGTCACGAATAGAAGGGGTTAAGGTGAATTTGTTTTATGGTGAATAAAACAAATGGTGAATTTGTTTTATGTTTAGTAACTATTATAAAACTATATCTATATAGTTTTTTATGTTTAGTAACTATTAAATGGTGAATTTGTTTGATGAGTTTTATGCATGATTTGACATTGTAAATGATTTTAGCATGACAATCGAATTGTGAAATGAAATTTGAAAGGTTATTAGTTTTGATTGATATATATATATATATATATATATTTGATTGATATATATATGTTATATATAAAAGTATATGATGTGGAAATGCTAATGAGCAGTGAAACTTATGTGAAAAAGAATGATTATAAGGGGTGGGAGCTCACCCAAGATATATGGAGTTGTGTGTGTGTGTGTGGAGATAGGAGTGAAAAATTCATATGGTCGAGCTGGCACTATAGGACATTCAGTGCGACATTACACGAGCTGCTACCATAGGTGATCTAGTACAGCATATTATAAGACTGTTACTATGGGACATCCAAATTCGGTGGCTAGATGATCATGCTAGTGTGTATTTATATGGAAATGCTTTGAAAAGAGGAAATTCCTACTTACTTTGAAATAAAATTGTTATTATTCTAGTTTTATTACTTTGGCATTGTTATCTATGATAATAGACATTAAATGAACTATATTGGTTACTGAGATTTTGATCTCACCCATGATTATTTATATTTTTTAGGTTCTCATAATGGTGATGCAAAGGGAAAAGACATAGGCTAAGTTGACACCACCTACTAAAGCCTTTTTGTAAGAATTGGTGTAATGAATTTGAGTATAATAGTAGTGGTTTGTATATAAGTTGCCACAGGAACCACACTTGTGCATAAACATGTGAATTGTGTGTATATGTATGACTTTGAGTTCTAGCCCACTAAATTTGAGTATATGTGTGTATATAGTGAAATTTTGTTATGGGCTAGTGGATATGTTCATGAATATGTTTTGTGCGTGTATTGAGGAGTTTGGCCTTGTATGGAAATGAGTGTGAAGAAAATGTGAATTTTGCCTAAAAGTGAGTACTGGGCAGTTTACAGGCCAAAAGTGTGTATATGTGATATATTGTGTAAATAATTAGTTAATTAGGTGTATAATATCCATTTGGACATGGCCAAGGCCCTATAAGTGGCTAATAACATATGGTTTCAAATGGTGACATTCAAGTGGCAAATTTTGACTTAAAATGGTCAAAAATGCACTTGGATGTTCAACTTTTGAAAAAAATATTGAATTGAAACGAAACTGGTGTCATTAGTTGAATTTTGAAACAAGCTTCGTGTGGGCATTTAAACTACCCCAATCGAATATCGGATGCGGAAAAAGCTGCTATATGACACTAGAATTAGGCGTGTGTGCCGCGACGCATGTATCCACATGCCACGTCGCATGGCACAAAGCGGGCAGTTGTGGTTGCTGTGCCCCATACCGCAGTGCATGATCCCAGTTTTGACTTGATTGGGGTTAAATTGCACATGTTTTCTTGTGAATTTGGAGATGCTTTCGCTATGTATTATTTTACAATTTGAATATGTTATTAAATGATTTTGGAAATGTTTTCTTTGAGATCCCAAAACTTTCAAATTAAATTACTTTGAATTGATTAGTAATATGAGTAGAGGATTGTATGGTAATATCAGTGAGGGCATTATACATTGGCAGTCATCTCTTGTCATGAGGACATAAAGATCATCATCTCTTTTTTCATTTTTGTGAGCCGGGCTTCCAAGCAAGCTTCCAAATGTAAGATCTAGAATTTCAATCTAAGAAACTAGTTGCTAATCAGGGGTAAATTAATAATTAATGGATTGATTGTGGTTTGGATATTGAGTTCATATTTTGTGTTGGTTAATTGTTATAGTAGTAGGATTGAAGGGTAGAATGAAAATTCGTGATGAAACTTGCTTGTATTATGTGTGATACTGCATCTTGTCAAGGGTACCACAGTGATAGGTACGTAAGTAGGCTTATATACTAGTCATGCAAGTGTATGTTATTGTATAATTTGTTTCACTTGTATTGAATGTGAATTGAATGTGATATTATATGTGTTAGATAGGAAGGCGTAACAAAAGATTAAAAATTTTAAATCTCTATCCTGATGTGGATCAAATGAACTTGTTTAAGTCAAAGTCGATAGAACAAGTACCTTTTTAAGTATGAGCTCTTCATGTGTTGTCTTCAAGAAATTAGATTTTAAAAGATGACAACGTAGATCTGCTCCCTCTACTGATATCCACAAGAATAGCTTTCAACTCAAATGGCCTGTTAGCTCTCGAACGACACCTTTCTTTAGGATGTTTTTATGGCTCTCACTGCATTTTGCTGTCATGACTTTTTTAACTCTCTCACACACATGAAACACATTCATATTACTTATAATAGAGGTATTGTTGACTCCTAATTACACCCTAACTCTCGAAAGTTGCTAGACTGCCCGGATGTCTTATGGTAATAGTCCCACTATAATGCTATACCAGATTACCCAAGATACCAGCCCGTAAAATGTTGCACCCAATGCCCTATGATGCCAACCCAACCATGTACATTTGTTTCTACCATCTCCACACATACACACATTCACATGCCCTGGGTAAACTCCCACCCCATATAATCATGCTTTTCACACACATTTCACTGCTTTTCCATGTTTACATGCTTTACATACGTAAATGCATATATACATACATACATACATACATATTCCTTTCATTCAAAAATGGTAGTCATACAATAACCTTATTAATTTCACTTTTCATGCCAAACCATACACAAAAGTTTACAAAACAATAAATTTACAAGTATATGTTTAGTTCTACACAGTTATAATAGCTACTAAACATAACAAACTATATGATTACCTAAACCTATTTGTTCACAAGAAAGGGTTTCCCATGTTCCAAAACCTTAGTCAAACTCCTTCTCGCAATTTCAACACATCTGACACGAGAATCTACACAATTAAGGCACCTAAAGTCAATTACCTTATTGACAAATAATGTTAATTATAGCAATCTAGCACCTAATCATTATCATTTCCTTTACTCGTGTCCATTTCCACGTTTTACAACCCTACTATGAAATTTTTGCCATTACTCTCTCTCTAAATTAGGTTAATTTAAGGCTACAACTTTAAAACTTTATCATTTCAACTTAAACCAGTCATAAAGGTCTAGTTTAGTCTCAGAGAACCTTTATATTACTATAGGGTTAAAAATAGCTTAAACTTCAATTTCTCAATAGCTTAAACTAAGAGAAAATAGAGTAGAATCTGAGATTAAGGCAATTCAAGGCTTACTCAATAAGTAACAGGTTGGACACGTCGTCCTTACTCCCAAAATTGATTGCCCTAGCAGAGCTCCCCCTTCTCCTCACTCTACTATACTCTTTTCTCTATTTCTTTTATGTTTCTCATGAGCAGGACACATTTTTATTCACCAAGTTTCTACACGATGCACCATGACACATCTATCTTTAGCCAAGCGTGTGGCATAGTAAGGGAATTACTCACCACGCTCACACGCTCTACTTCGTCACACCATTCTCCTACTCAAATATATTCATATAACATTTCAAGGAGTTAAAATAACATTTCACCATCCATAATCCTAATCTCACATTAAGTTACTAATTCACCTCTTAATTAACATTAATGCAAGAGTGAGAAATTGAGGGTGTTACACATTCCATCCTTCATTTGACATGCATTCTTATCCATTTTCAGCACCTAACATTGATCATACATCCCATTTGCATAATCAATTTCAAGCATATAACTTTGATTATCTACCCCAAATCATGATCATCTCCATCCAATTCACAATTTTGAATTTTTCAATCCCATGAGTTTTGAATCCCATCTAAGAACTCATGTTGAGTATACACCACCCATTAACATTGAGCATCTAGAAAAATCATGTTTGCAAAGGGGAAAATTTTATTGTGTGCATTGTGAGGCTACCTTCTACTTCTATTATGATTGTCTTATTCTAAAAGTATATTATGAACCACATAGAGTAGCTAAGGCCCACAAGAGAGCAATTACATGTTTGAAGTTGAAGATATGCAAAAAGTTGCTCACGAAGCTATACGAACATAAATACATCTTAACCCACTAAATCTGCAAAAGAGAAGGAGTCAATCCAACCTTTGCTTCAAGAGGTAATTTCTCCTATTCCTATTGAAATTCTTCTTCACATTTGACTTTGTCTAATGATGAGCATAAGGATTTGAATGATGATGACATAGATGAAGAAATTATAATTGAATTACCTTGGATGTTTGGTCATGAACCATATTATGAAAAAAAATATCCTTGGGAGAAAAATACTTGGAGTTCACATGATAACTTTCTTGATTTAAATTTAAATATCATTGAAAGTGTTGACTCTTCACTTAGCTTAAACAAAGAAGATGAGATGGATGATGATGGTCGGGATGATGTATCTTCTGTGCTTAAAACTCTAATTTCTTCTTTTGATGTTGTTAATAGTGCACATGCACTTATTTTTTCTAACCATGATGTGCTTGAAAAAGGTTGTTTACCTTCTTTTATAGGTGAACAAAATAAAGTGGCCGAATCGCCTCTTGATTTCAATGAGGAACTTGCTTAACTTGAAGAGGCCATGGACTTGAATCAAAATTCTGCATCTATTCCTCTTGAAACCTTGCCAATTATGGAATAAGAGCATGAGAATTTTAAGTCCAATCATGAGGTAGAAGAGGCTAATGTTCAAGGCTTATATGAAATTGAGGACAAGTCACAAGAAGAAGGGAGTTTGGAGGACTTAATGCGTGAGGAAATTGAAGTTCAAGGAAATAACTTTGCAAAGCCTAATGGTAAATTGAGTGATGTTGATCTCATGATTGAAGAATTTAGTGATGATATTTCCTTATTGTCTAGTATTGATTCACATTCTCATATTTTCATATCTCTTTGTACTTGTTTGAATGATTATAGATGCCAAAATTGTTTGGAAATTGATGAGTACTTAGATAATGGTGATACATCTTCTCATGAATTACTTGATGATAATAAAATATCTACTATACTTGAGCTTTATGGGCATGAGAAGGGTATTTTGTCTTATGATATAGGTACAAACACTAAAGGAGCCAATTTTAAAGAATTTTCTCCACTTAGGCTTGATGTCCATAAGGTTCCCAAGCTATTGGAGGAAAATTTTACACTTAGAGTACCTTTGTGCATTGAGATAATTGAAGAGATTGATGCTCTGTTTGGTTGGGAAGAAAATATGGGTGAAAAGAAAACATGGAGAGAAAATAGATTTTCCCTTGTTTGAATAGGGAAGAAAAAATGAGAGGAAAGAAAAAGCAAGAGGAAAATAGGGTATGGGACCCACTATTTTTTCCTTCCAACTTTTCTCTCCAAAAGTGAAGGGATTTTGGGAGTTAAACTTTTTTCCACTATCTATCCTCTCTCTCATTTATTTCATGCTCTGACTCTCAAGGGACTACTTAATTACATTAATTTAATTTTAATTAAACAGTTTGGTTTATAATTTTTAACTTTTATAGTTATGAATTACATTAATTTAATTATTTAATTAAATAATTTAGCCATTGGCTAGATCAAGTAATAAACAAGCATTAAAATAAGTAACATAATCACATCATATAAGATCACCACAAATTGCATGCATGATCCCTAACCATCCGGTCCTCCAATACTCCCGCCAAACCAGTAGGCTATTTCACATAACCAAATCACATGTATGGTCCCCAAGCTCACCATCCATAGTAGGACTAGGTCTTTACCATTTTAACACCGTATCCATTTTATGCAGATTCACCGCAATCCCTTCTGCCGACACAATATGTCCTAAAAATCGGACCTCTCGTAGCGAGAACTCACACTTACTAAGCTTGGCATAGAGCTTGTTGTCCTTCAAAATTTGTAGCACAATCCTCATATGCTTCGCATAATACTCCTCATTTTCAGAATATATCAAAATGTCGTCAATAAATATCACTGCAAACTAGTCCAGGTAAGGCCTA